AAAGAGTGAGTTGGGAGATTTATAGTTTTGAAAATGTGAAGAGGAAAGGAAAAAGTTGAATTGTAGCTTGAGTCTTTTGCGATGAGTGATGAAAGAGTCAGTTATAGTGCCTAAGATGCTCAACTAACATAAATAATGATTAAAAAATAGAAAGGAAAAGACTTTTTGAAGGTGTTGAAGTGGGGCCAGGAAGGTGCGATAAGTCATAGTTGATTTTAGGTGTGGTGAGCTTCTTCAGGCTTATCTTTCAGTGTTCACAAATTGGTAATGGAGGGGCATGGGGACTTTGCTTATTCCATTAATTGATTCCTTTCACGGGTCCCTCTGAAGAGGAAAAGGACACAAAATATTGTCTTTTTCGGTTTATCAAGAGGGAACCAAGTGAAGATCTGTATGCTTTATCTTTGGCCCCTCAAAAAAGAAACAGATAAGTGAATAAATGAATCACACAATAAAGCTTTCAATCTGAAATTCCCATAATAATATGATTATATTTACGCACTCCACTCTTTTTTATTAAAAATAATAATAATACTTTCCTGCCATTTCAGCACCGCAAGGAAGTAGATGCATTCCCTTTAAGTTGATGAAAAATAGATATTTAAAAAGAAATCCAGGTCACTCTCACTCCCTCTCCCTCTGTCTATTTATCTAGCTTCATTTTTTGCTATTGAGCTGGTCCATATACCCCGAACAAAGTTAAAATCATATTTCATATATTTTTATTAATAAAAGAATACAACCTATTGACAAAGCCAATTCCGATAAAGAAAATAAAAAAGAAATATACATATCATAATGGTAGGCTCCCTTGTCCATGTCATTAACTTGACTAAGCTGAACAAAAGAACTTTGACAAAATATTATAATTAGTTCGTGTTATTAAGACACATCAACGTAGAATTTCTGAAGAAAATAAATTTACATATACATATTAAGGATAAAAATAAAATCTATTAAGTTAATTAATTTGAAAATAAAGCAAGGCTAAAAGAATAGTGCCTAAGGTAGCGGTGGCTTATTGAGGTAGAGGGGTAGAGTGTAGCTCTGTGGCAAAGAGAAGATTTGGAACATTTTGTTACTTTGAGAAATGAAAAGAAAATATAAAGACATTGGATACACGTGTATTACGTAGAGACAAGAGCAAAGTTTTTCACATCGTCACAGGTGGGATGTCAGGACCCGCAATGTGTTGCTGCTTTAAGTTTGGTTCTAAACGCTGTGATTGCTCGAGTGGGCCAAGGTGCTGTCTCATGGTGGGGACCTCCATCAAGGGCAAACATGGAAAGCAATTACGTGGAAGAAGAAAGAGCCTACCCCACCAAGTACCACCAACACACGTTATTTAATATGATTTTTAATGATATAGCAGCAGCTTAGGATAATAATCGATGGGATAATACCAAGAATAGTAACACATCTACAATGAATCCGTAAGCCACGTGTGCGATAGTGACAGTAAAGAGCGCACATCTCAGCAAAGGAAATTGTCCAACTCGATGGAAACTTTGAAGATATCTTTACCACATGTTCCGGACCACGCCATCCTTGCGCAAAACCAACCAACCATTAGCGATATGAAAATTAAAGATCCAATACCAATACAAATACCCTTGATCTGCCACCTATTTTATCTACTAACTCACCTGGTTTTTAGTCTACACATTGAATTCAATTTTCACTCGCCTCACATGCAAGTCCCCATCCCTCAAAAAGCATATTCGTATTATTTGAAATTGCTATTGCTTTTCACACTCACTCATTGCAATTTGTGTCACCGCCCACTCAAATTTCACTAGAACTTGGGGAAAAAGAAAAGGAAAATAATGGCATCATAGCCACACCAGCAATGGATGAGGGAAAATCATCTTTTGATCTTTAAATTAAAAAATAAAATTGAGGGTTACTATAATATATGATCAGCCAGCCAGCCAGCCAGACACGTACATATTCATCCTTCTCCACATAGACTTTGTCAAAAAGATTTTTACTGCTCTAGTAGCCTAGAAGACAAAATAAAATAAAAAGAAAGAGTAGAGAAAGAACATGTATTACATCCCCAAAAGAAGAAAAGGTGGTTCTTTCCCTTCCTTTCCTCCACATCTTTTTTTCCCACCATATCAACCCCGTCCTTTTAAAAAAACCAATCGAATTTGATTAGACTTCACGATCAACCTTGTCAGATTATAAACACAAGGGTACAAACAAATGACTAAACACAATTCAGGCACATCAATGGTCTGGTCGATTTACCATCCAAAATTGAGGAATCCAAATCGTCTTTATCTTCGTTGGCATTGACCTACTCCAGCTTGTTCCTTTTCCACATCTTCTCCAAAACGGCATCAACATTGCATTTTCCCCCCACCATCGAGAAGACCCCATCATGCACTTCAAAATCCCATGTCAAGGGGTGCAGGCAACCAAGGAATATATTCATTCTACTCACCCGCAGGTTGTTTCTGCTCCGAAGGCTTCACTTGAACTGAGGGCACAGGATGAACATAAGAAAATCCAGCAGGAACAAACTGATGGTGGCTCCCTGAAGGTGGCATTGCAGCAAACTGGGCAGGATGCAAAAGACCCTGAGTAGGTAAGGCACTGCTGCCCTTCACGTTATTAGCTGCTGCCGAGTTATTGCCGGAAGAGCCCGGCCGCTGCATCGGCTCAGGGCCACGCCTTTGGAGGTAATAACCAGTTGGAGCTGTGGTGGTGGATGTGGGGCTGTTGGATTGTGAATGCACGTAAGCATTTGAGAAGAAAAGCTGGGGCTGTGGCAATGCCTGCTTTGATGACATTTGCTGCTGCTGCTTCTGTTGCTGCTGTGGCATTTCGGATTTACTCCCAGTGCTGGAAGAGGAAGTTAGCTGAGGGACATTGAGTATTGATGGCACATTCCTGCTACCAACAGGGGACGATTTTCGAGCCGGCACAGCAGAAGAGTTCTTGGCTTGCTGAGAGGATAAGGAAGAACTTTGGCTTATCTTGTTGTTGGTTGTTGAAGTTGAAGTGGTCCTTGGACTACCAGTATTTTTGGACATAGATGAAGTTGTTGGTGAGCCAACCATGACTGGGGGTGATGGAGACTGGGTGGAACTTGTGGGTTGCACTTGTGTTGCGGATGATTTTGGATTTGTTCTGTCTACCAACAGGGGACGATTTTCGAGCCGGCACAGCAGAAGAGTTCTTGGCTTGCTGAGAGGATAAGGAAGAACTTTGGCTTATCTTGTTGTTGGTTGTTGAAGTTGAAGTGGTCCTTGGACTACCAGTATTTTTGGACATAGATGAAGTTGTTGGTGAGCCAACCATGACTGGGGGTGATGGAGACTGGGTGGAACTTGTGGGTTGCACTTGTGTTGCGGATGATTTTGGATTTGCTGCAAAAGATATCTGCGTGTGAGGCTGTTGGGAACGGGCCTGCTGCTGCGGAAGAGTTTTCACCGATGAGGGTGGTGTTGTTGAAGCCATTGATGGAGGTGATTGTGAAGTGGTTGTTGCCCTTACAGAACTCTTCCACTGAGGCGACTGAGCAATGGTATTACTGCTCTGTACAAGGCTTTGAGGAAATGCCGATACAGCATTGGGAAACTTGGTAGCCATTGAGGATGTAGAAGGGAGGTTATCAGAATAGACACTACCATTGCCTGTTGATGGGGTCTTGTTGCGAGCTGCTGCAGCAAATTGGTTCTGCTTCTGATGCTGCTGAAGCATTTGCTGTTGATTTCGCTGCATTTGTTGTTGAGTACTGGCAGCAGGCATAACAGAAGCAGAACCCCGGGAAGAAGCAGAACCAAGATTGAGATTACGACCTGAAGTATCTATGACATTGTTGCCGCCGGACAATGCCGCCATTGAGGGATCGGATACATCCGGCCTTCCGAATGCGATGGATTGCGCCATTGTTGTTGGAATTTTTCCAGACATTGCTTTTCTATCTTCGTCAAGATTAGAAGAATTAACCACATTTTTCCCTTCCTCAGGGGCATGATAACTCTTTTTCAGCTGAGCACTGGCAGCTTGTGCTGCTGCCATTATATGATAATTATGACTACTCTGCATGATGGAATGATTTTGTGCAATAGATGAGAGGTCAAGGCCAGGAGCCCCAGCCGCCCCATTGATGGATGCAAAAGACATGGCAAATGCCGGAGATGTTTCACCTCCAGCCTTCGAACCAGGGTGCTGCTGGGGTTGCTTCTTTTCGCTGTGAGCACCATTAGAAGTAGCACCATTCATTGTGGCCTGTGTCATCAAAGAAAAGTTTGGCTTCTGCACAGGGACGGGGATTGCAAAATTATGGCCATAAATATTCATCGTATTTATGGTAGAGCGGGTGAGACGGCTATCAGCAGTAGATGGACTATCTTCACCACCCATCTCAGACTCAACTTGGCGAACTGGATGAGAAGTGTGATGATTCTGCCTCTGCTGCGGTTGCTGCTGCAACTGTAGTGGCTGTGTTGGTGGGTTTTTGGTGACGGGAAAGCCTTGCAAGCTTCCACCGCCATTGGAGCCAGTGGCATTATTATTAGGCTTTTGTTGTTGATTCTGGGCGTGCTGCTTCTGAGACGAGGAGGATCCACTAGACATACTGGTATTTTGATGGCCCTGTTGGTTCTGCTGTTGTGACTGAGCAGGAAGTTGCTGCGGTTGCATCTGTGAAGGATGTAGCATTTGAGAAGAATAGAAAGAGCCATTGAAAAATGGAAAAGCCTGGGCATGAGGGGTTCCACGGTACCCAGGTGGACCACCAACATGTGTTGGAATTGGAAACGAGTAAGGATTGTTCTGCAAAATGGCCAAGTACGGAGTCTCATTGCCAGGCATATTTGGATAGCTGAAGCTCATTGTTGGGGCGGCTGCAGCAGCGCCTGTGCCAGAAACATTTGGTGGGGCAGAATTGGGCGCACTGGATGGTGCACCATTGCTTGAAACTGGCAAAGACTTTACAGATCCAGGCCTAACAGATGCTGCAGCAGCTGCTTGCTGTTGATGCAGCGGGAATATGAATGTAGGGCCATGCTGAAACTTGCGACAAAGGATAAATTAGTTTAAGAATTAAAACAGAAGGAGAAGACCAAATGGCTTTAGAAGAAGAAAACCAAAACATACCAAGATATTACTAGGTGCTGCTCCTGGAGGCAAAGCTTGCTGAAGCAAAATTTGCTTTCTGGACGAATTATCCACATTGGCAGGCTGAGAGCCTTTGTCCTTAGCAATATGACCCGGAAACATGGCAATACCGTGCCCTTTGTCCTGAGCAGAGTTTGCAGCCCTACCGGAAACATTAGCATGCAACTCTGTGGGGGGCACAACATTATGACTGTTTGGTTTAGTCCCATATAATGAAGCAGAACCTGCTGCTGCTGGCCAGAATGGATTCATCCTCGCAATTTGCTGGTGATATGCTATATTGCGAGCAATGTAGCAATGCGTTGCACACCTTTTAGGCCGAGGCTGATTAAAAAGAATCTGGGGAGGCTGAGTTTAAGAAAAAAGAATTAATCAGGAAGCCAATTCACATTGTTTGTAGATGAGAAAAAATCAAGAGGAACAATAAGACGCATACATACCGGTATAGCTGCAGATGTCACAGTAGTCCCATCCATGGATACAACTCCTTGCAGAGGGGTCATATATCTGCTAATAATGAGACGAGATGAGGGTCATATCAAAATTATTACAAATATCCGAAACAACAGTGAACACACAGCAATTGATCTTTGGCCGTACCCCATGGGAGGAAGCCCACCAGGCCAGTTGGGAACAGACAATGGTAGAGGCACAGAATTGGGTTGAACTGGAAGGAGGAGGAGAAAATCGTAAGGCACAAAACAGAGATCAGGAAAAAGTGTGAAGATAGGAAAGACAAAAGAAGGAGCATTTTTAGCTTCTAAATTGAACGTACCATTTTTCTCTGAGTTTGTTTGTTGTTGCTGCTGCTGCCTCTGAACGTTCTGATGTTGTTGCTTCTTGTTAATATTACTACCGACATTGCCACTAGTATCCATCCTATCAGTTTTCTCCAAATCAAGTTGCAAATCAATTCCTCTTTCTTTCTGCAAGATACCCGGTTTCTGCGACTCAGCCTCTTCGGCCCTCGCTCTCATTTTCTCCATCTCCACAACCATTGCTTCTTCCTTGTTCATTCTTTGTGCTTTATCGTCCTCCTTCATCGCAGACTTCACTTCCTGCACAACACCCCAAAACGCCTTAAGTACTTATTCATCTGCAGCATGAAAAGAGTTCATAGCCAATACATGGCCCACTTACCTTTTCTGCGTCAACCACCATATTATTCTCCACATCCCTTTCCGGAGATGACCTCAATGGAGGTGGTGGCGCCTGAAAGTCCAAAATACCCCCGATAAAAATCAATCAAAAAAGAAAAAACGGAATATCAGAGACAGAGAAGGAAGAAAACGATAAGAACCATCAGATCTATCTGGATCTTCTCTTCTCGCTGATTTTCACTCTCGGACATGGACGGATTCCTGGAGAACCAAGAAAATCAATAAAGCAAGATCAGGATTCACATTCAGAGCGAACTGAGCACAAAAAGCTAAATGATTAAAGAAAAAAAACGAAAAAGAAAGAGTAGTAAAAGTCGATGCTGCTCACGCTTTAGTCGCTTTCACATCTTCACGGTCATCATCTGCTACATGTCGCACAGGAGATTCCTTCTTGGGTGACGACTGAGGAGCCACCACCTCACTCAATCCCACATCTTTCTGCTTCTCCGCTTCCTCCGCTTTAGACTCCGGCGAGGCGTTGCTCTCAGTCTTCGCCGGCTCCGGCGACGCCTGAACCGTTTGAGAATTCGCCGGTTTCTCTGTTACAGACCCCACGTTGCCCTTATCCAAATTAGACGAACAAGTTTCCATCTTGGCAGGCTGATCGCTCTCAGCCTTCGTCGTTGACGAAATGGGACTGCTTCGAACGCTCAAATTCTCATCCTCGTGCTTCACCGGTCGCGGTCTTTTTCTCTTCGGAGCTGCAAAGATAAACACAAGGAGAAATTAAATAATAAAATCTAAAAAAAATGATAAAATTTAGATTTTTCACGAGTAACACACCAACGGCGGACATGGGAGTGGCAGAAGAGCTTGAATTTTGGGGGTTGGAAATCGGTGACTTGGCATCGGTGGAAGATTTATTGGGTTCTCGGGAATCGAACTTGGTTGAATCGTTGGAGATGATTTCTTGCTTGGTCGGTCCCTGAGGTTGTCTCATCATGCCGTACAACACTTCCGCGATCTCTATCTCGATCTCATCCTGCGCTGAGGACGATGACTTGGACGTCGTCGTTTTGGGTGGTCGAAACTTTGCCGCTCCATTCTGCTTCTACACCCATCAAACACAACACTGTTAGCGCTTGCATCAAAACCAACACACCACACTCAGATTCTCACACCTGGATTGCGGAACTCACTATCTTCTTCCTAACCGAGGCGTTAGACGACGAAGGGGATGCCGGCGCCGGCGCCCTCACCGGCGAACTGGAAGGCTGTCGGTGATTTTGCTCCGCCACTATTCCACCGCCGCTCGAAGCCCAGCATTCGTGCGACCTCTTCGTCGACGCTGTCCAAAAAAAAAAAAAGGAACGCATCAGAACGCGGTGAATTCAGAGTGGTTCAGCGAGTTTGTTGGCTTCCGGTTTACCTGAGCGCGCTTTTCTGGGGACGGAGAATCCGATCATCTCATCGGCGGCC